TCTCAATATCAACACCAAATTGTCGATTTCCAGTACATTATTCTTCGAAAACGACATCAATCATCAATATTCAAAGCCCCATTCAATCTTCGAACAATCGGTTTCCAAATCTCATTCAAGAGCCAAACACGAACTAACACACAGTGTTCGATATCATCAACATGAATCCAACCAGTTTTCGAGATTAAACACCAAATCAATCATGATTTCGACATCTATATCTTGTATTCAACTCAAATCAAACGATTTCAACCTCCAATTCCTTGATTCATTACTTAAAAATCGAAGTTGACTTTTCTTTTCTGAGTTTGACTTTTTGAAATCGGAAGTCAACAAACACGATATTGATAAATCTAACCCAAAATTTCAGATCAAAACACGAATATTTCACTGTTCTTCATAACCTTCAAGTGTTCTTGGTCAAGTTCTTCAAAATCAAAGAATCAATTTGATAAAACTTAACTTCAACTTGATCATTATCGACGGATAATAAACCAAATCAAATCCAGTCGATTCACAAACTCAGAATCACGAATAACATTGATCGATTTTCATAAACGAAAACGAAATGCAAGGAAATCATGATCAAAAATCGATTTATGAGCTTCAGTGTGTACGACGTGTATGTGATGACGAACAAAAGTGAATACGGAATCGAAATTGATTTAATGATTTGTGGGCTCAATTTTTTAAGATATTGGATCAAAAGAAATTTTGGGCTCATAATATTCATGAACAGTAAAGGATTCGAAAATTTGATCAAAGTGATTTATGGGCTCAATAATATGAAATTGAATATGAACAGTAACATTCGTTTTTGAGCTCCAGATTAACAACAGAAAATTCGATTTACTTTTGGAATAGATTTTGATTAAAAAGAATGTTTGCAAATTGAGAATTGAATCAAACAAAATAAGATTGGATCGGCTTGGGCTTGATCAATGAAAATTTTATTGGATCATAACAAATGGGTTTTTAAAAAAAAAAACTTGATCCAACGAGTCAAATGATCACAAATCAAGAACGTAATGCACGATTCAAAGAGATAAAGAGAGATCATAGAGAGAGACTCACCAAAATTGCTCCAATTGTGAACAAAAGTTGCCAAACCGAGAATCGTTCTTCAAAAATCACGTTGATCTTCGAAGACCCGCTCTGATACCAATTGTAGTGATTATAGAACATGGTTTGGCATGCGGAATTAAAGATTGCACAATGAACATGGTGATTTGGGTGTTCAAGAGATGTATTGATTATGTATTGTGTTACCAAAAAGGGACATCGATCTAGTCTACATAAATAACACACACTTACACACTCAACTTTTACACCTCTCAAGCACACCTCTACAAGTGGACTAAACCCACCTTATATAGAGGTGTTTACATGTCTCTCTCTCTCACTCTCTATCTCATGTCAAAAGGCTAATACACCACATCCAAGTGGGTCTACAAAAGTCAAACATTACAAAGTCATTCATGGAAAACTTTGTACCCTAACACGAGTCACTAACTGGACTCGCCGAGTTGGGCCGACTCGCCGAGTGCAGCTAGTGACTCACCGAGTCATGTCGAACAGAGGGCCAAAAAACGTTTTTTCAGCAAGATGAACATACAAGGCATCAATACAATAGAAACCAAACCAGGCTCTGATACCACTGATGGGTTTGAGCCAAAAGAACATCCTATGTGCTCATGCAAACCCCAATGCTTGGATCTAGGTTTCTTTATTGTACATGCAATTCATCCAAGACTTTCTAACCCTAGATCTAGTGTATATAATCGAAATTAACATCACAAAAACAGATCTAGATGTTTACCTTGTTGTTGATTGAAGATCTTGAAGCCTTAAGAACTTTAGCACCTCAAGTGTTGTGCCTCTAGTGAATCACAAATACCAATAGCAATTGGAGGAAACAATAGAGAGAGGGGGAGGAGAATTTCGGCTCTAAGACTTCTAGGGTTCAAGTGGCCGAAATTCCCATGCCTAGGGGTCCTTATTATAGGTGTAGGAATTAGGGTTTCAGTGATTATCCTTATCTGGTTACTTAGCCACCAAGCAGCCCAAGGATAATTCTAGAATCCCTATCATGGACGAATTCTTAAGGCTTTATCCCTAGAATTCGTCCACCCTATCTATTAGGGTTTCCTTACCCAACTTTGTAACTATCACATAATTACAGTTCAGCCCCTTAAGTTCAATTAACTTCTTTTGATCACAAAACTAATTCTTAATTAATTATTGACCAATGTTAATTAGACAAATATGATTTATATTTTAATATATTAGTCTTATAATATATTAATAAACCATAATTACCTCTTTCTATATTATTCCTCCAGTCAAGTTGCTTTGGTGAAGGCAACCCAAAAGGACCATGCACAACCGGGTCAAGTACATACTAAATATAGTTATGGACTTAGACACTAATCCAACAGATTACCCCTTATTTATCACAAACTCCTTATTTCACCATTTAAAGAAATTGACAAATATACCTCGTAACCTAAACCTATATCGACACAAAAACATACGCTATAAGTTAATAAGCTTATAACGTTTTGACACCCGATAAGCTTAGCCAAACACTTTTTTAAAAACTCCGTTTTGATACCACCATAAGTTATAAAGTTAAAAACTATTTTATATAAGCTTTGCCAAACACCCTCTAAGTCAATTCATACCAAAGCAAAACTACATTCAAGTCAAAAAATGAATTCATAATCTCTATATAAGCTTGAAAACACTATAATGACCAAATTGAATCTACTTGACTTGCTTCTTTGAATTATAAATGATCATCTGAGATTAGAAAATGCATTAGATTAACCTATAATTGGTGATCTGGAGTCTAAAATAAACACTTCATCGTTTTAGCGTTCATAAACCTCTAACATCACAAGTGAGTTGAATCCAAGCAATACAAAAATAGAATGACAATAGGATGATGAACTATTCATTGAAAATAAGCTAAAAACTCATTTATAACATCCTAATCATAAAATATTTTTTGATATTTATATCCCTAAACCTTAGATCAAAATTTTTAGAAGAACAACTAGGAATTGTACCTTCTAGAGCTTCAATGAGTTGATTCAAACTAAACGTTTTTCAAATACACTTCATACTCTCTTCAAATCTACTTTCTAACAAGAAATTGTCATTTTCTTCTTCGCTAAAATCTCTAGGTCGATTTTTTACTTAAATTATGGAAGGGAATAGAGCTTATGTTCCTTCTTTTTGCCACTTAACACAAATAACTCCTCAATTTCCAATTCTTATAAACTGACCACTAATTGAGTAGTAACTACTCAGACTTCTAATTTACCAACTTAACCCTAACAACAATTTTTCTAACAAAAAAAATCCTTAAAGTGTAGCTAGCCTAGGTCTAAGTCATTGATCAAATATGGAGTTTTCCCTAAATTACCAACTCAAACACTAGATATTCTTAACATTTGGCTTATAACATAGGTTAAATTATTAAATCATTAAATTTTATTTTACTATGATTATTTTAATATCATTATTACTATTAATTTATTTTATTATTTCATTATTTAATTTAATTATTTAAATAAATTTTAAAATAACCCTAAATATGGTTGTTACAAAACGAAACATACATTGTCTTCTCACCAACACTATAACTACCATGGTTCTAAAAAGCGCGCCATGGCGATAGGCGTGGTGTAGCCGTTACGAAAACGTCCAAGGCGGATTTGTTAAGTGTGGCGTCCAAATAACGTGTCATGACGCGTCTTATCGCGTTATGACGCGAGTTTTTTTCAAGGCGCGGGGGGTTTTTTTTTTTGGTTTTTTTATCGGGCCTAAAATAATTGAGTTTTTGTTAACTTTTTATATTAAATACTAATATAACACTTCTAAAAACTTGATATACTTGATAAAATTCAATAATTATATGATTAATCTCTTTTAATATATATAAAATAGTCACGCCTTGAAAAACGTCATGACTCGCCAAAGCTTGTCATGGCTTAACTTTGATCTTGCTGCCAAGTCACGCCTCGCGTTATTTAGAACATTGATAACTATCTCATCCATAAAAGGAATCAATAAGCAACAATTAACTCTCAAATTCTCTATGTTGCTCTTAAACTCTCTTTGAGTATACAACCCTAACATGGATGTTAGGGTATAATCTCAAGACACAACCTCATATTACGGTTGACCTCGGTTTCTCCTTGTGATCAACATGTCTTGGATCCACAAACTTAAACCAAGAAGATTATATACTTTATCCGTCTATCATTATCTATTCCCCAACATGACTTTGGTTGCATTAGTCAATGTCATTAAAAGATAACTAGTGTTAGTTTGTTCTTTGGGTCAATCATCTTTTCATTGTACTTAATAAACTAATAACAACTTCTACCTTGAAATAGATTTTAACCGGATAAATTGGTATTCAAAATTTGTTCACTTATATTTATTTGATATTGACATGACAACTAATATGATTGAATTATCTTGGCTAAAATCCACTCCACTAGTGTAATGCAGACCCAAAAATTTGTTGTGGTCTATAGAGTACAATTGAAAGACAACTAACCGGAAAAACAAAACTAAATACTATTGGTTGCCATTTTCCGAAATTAACCCTACAAATTATGAAAACATAAAGATTGAACTTAGAGTCTATAAAAGCTTGAAAATTAGTTATGACTTATGATATTTTGAAAAGATGGGAAATTATTATCGTGTAATGCCTTATTATTAATCTATATATTTCTAAAAATATAAATATAAATACAAAAACAAAAACAAAAAGTTTATTCTCAATACAAACATCAACGTAAGTCTGAGTTTTTGTTAAAAGTTAACCATTAACAATGGAATGTCACCTAGGACACTTGACACTTTATTTTATCACTTGTGTATTTTAATCCCGACACCATTCTTCATATTATAAACTACACTAATTTTTTGAACGGCAAAGCAATATCACAACTTTTTTTGCATTTCAAGAATAAAAATATATCAAAATAAAACATCACAAGTCTCAATTAATTTACACTATTATTAAATCAGAACCCGATTTTTACAGATAACCAATCTTAATAAACATCATAAAAATGTCACTCATGAACCAATTTAATCTTAAAAAACCTCAAAATAAGCCATCTGTCCACCTAATGGAGCTTCTTAATCCCAGGAAAAGAAGGAAGAATTGCAATCAAAGCATCACCATATCCCACAGCAGCTATTCCACAAAAAAGAAAATATCAAAACGCATGATTTTTTGCTTAATGAGAATAAAAGGGTTGTTATTTTTTCTCATTAAGCTTTGTATAGGTAATGATGTTTGTCTGTATAAAGTGTTATATACATAAAGATTTGTTTCGTTTCTCGATCGAATAAATTGTCTAAACGAGACTAAATGACTAAATTACCCTTACATTCCAACAATAAATAATCACAATATTCATCATTTTTAACTTGAAAAAACTTGAGGAAAAGAGAAACAACCCCTTAAACAGGTTTTTTTTTTTTTTTTTGGACTTAATGCGGTAGCAACTTAATGGAGAAAGTCAGAAAAATGAGACTTTCCACATTAAGTTGTGACTATTTACAGATTTGCCCCTCGTCAATTTTTTCATTCAAATCTTTTTTTTAAACATTATGTATAAAGAGTATCAATGCTTACCACCATCTTCACAAAGAAACTTGACAACTTCCCCAGCTACATCAGACTGAAATATCAATAGTAAAATAATAAAAATAATATTACTTATGTGTCAAATAAACAATTTCTTGAAAAAAGAAAACAAATAAATATAAACCTCGATAGGTAACTCGCCACCAAGCTGTTCTACATAACAAACAACCTGTCCCTCCTTCACTATTTGCTTCTGTTATAACATATAAAATACACATCACCACAAATTATAAAAAAAAAATTAATCTTTTTTAAATAATTGTTTAACAAATTCAGAATGGATGAAGGAAATTGTACTTCTTTGCATGAAGGAGGTGCTCGTTTCCCTTTAATGGTTCGTGATCTTTTAAAGTACCCAACCTGATTTTATTATTTATAATAATATAATGATCAAAAATATAATTCTATAGATAAAGAACATGTTAATTAAATTAAATTCATTTTGATTTCTTACTCTTGGAGAGTGGATTATAGTGAGTCCTTCATCTGTAGCTTTATCAAGCAAACTCTGAACACCAGATGAAGCTTTTGTGATGGCTAGAGATGATGATGAAGCTGACCCATTTACCTCACTTGCCCCTGGTGTTGGATCTACTACATTTGAAGTAGATTGTGGAGGCGGGGGCGAATTCGGAATTTCTACACCCAAGTCTCTCATTACATATAGCCGAAATCCACCAACCTGATAATAGTAAGAACAATATTTCATGTAATTTTGTAACTAAAGAGATCAATTTCAAAGTTTATGAATTCTCATCTCTCACTTTCATTTCAAACTCTGCAATTGAGGTTTCACATATTCCAGATATGAGAGATTCCACCTGTAAACAAGATTTTAATGAGCACTCAATTATATTGTGTCCTTTGTTGATAATGTATACTTTCTAGTTTGTATGGTAAATTGAACAATTTTGCAATATTAAAGTTAAGGAATTTATGTTGTTTTTTTCTTAGATTTAGAGGTATAAAGATTTGAATATCTAATGTCAAAAGGAAGATAAGTTGGCAAGTCAAGATACCTCCAAAGCAGTTGGAACAAGTTGTGTTCTTGATTCAGATGAATTGGATGCTTCTGAGCGATGATCTTCTGAATGTGTATCAGCTATTCAAAATTGAAGTGAATTTGAATTTTTTTTGTGAAAGAATGATTAATGAAACAGTTCAATTCATATCAGCTTTCCCAAATTAGCTGCTGATGTTACAAGTTTCATTAGAATATCAATCACATTGCTTACATTGGGCGTTCTTTAATGGCAAACACAGGCATCGATTTGAATTCTTAGAAGAACGTTGAGATAACGTCAAACCATCAAACTGTCTAACATTTGGGACTTTTACGCCATGCAATGGTTGCTTTGAAGTAGGTGGTTCAATTCTAGCAGCACCCAAATTCGAATTTGAAAATTTCAAACTTGAAGCCCCAAAGCTACCTGATACAAAAAAAAAACGGATGCACAATAATTCTCAAGCTACAATTTCCCTAACGAATTCATAGTAATTTCAATCTTAGAACCCTAATTACCAAATTTCAAGAGCAAACATGAGAAATTGCAATTTATTCGATTGATTTGGGGTTGCAGGATGAATGCCGTAGTATACACGCAACATTAACATAGACATGGTCGTAGAATCACAGAGAGGGAGTAGTGACTTACATGCATCCATGGAAAACGGTGAAGGTTTATGGAATCGTACTGACTGATGAACTGCTGTGGAAATTGGAGATGGAATACGAAGAATAGGATAAGCAAGGAAGGAAGAAGACAGTAGGGTACAGATCAGATGGAAGCCAGGAACTGATCTTCTGTGACGTTGTACGGCCCACCTTTCTGTTTGGGCTGATTTGGTGATTTTAGCGAACGGTTGTTGTATGCGTTTTTGGTATTTTAGATTTTTAGGCGTTAAAGATAAAATTATAAATATAACCAAAACCGATAATTACTTTGTAGAAAATAGCAAAAAAAAAAACTGAATTACAAAAATAGCCTGCAAAATCGCAGATGGACTAAGTCCATCTGCGATTTGACAAAACCATCTGCGAACGTACAAGTCGCTAAAGCACATTCATGCTTTAGCGACTTGTACGTTCGCAGATGGACTAGTCCATCTGCTATTTCATATTCCATCTGCGATTTCACCTTTTTCGCAGGTATAAAAACGTAAATTTTTTTGTTTGTTTCATTTTTCACACTTTTCGTTGAAGAACTCTCTCTCTCTGGAAGCACTATGGACGATTTGACAAAACAAATATTAATTCATTTTATTAAAAAGATTATAAACAAATTTTTCAAAGAAATTACAACAAAAGTGATAATTTTTTGCAAGAATTTATATATAATATGTTTGTTTCATAGTCAAATCCTATCAATTTCGTAGTCAAAAATTAAAAAAAAAAAAAAAAAAAAAAAAAAAAAAAAAAACGAAATCGCAGATGAACTTAGGTCCCGTTTGATAGTTGCTGACTGAGAAAGTGTTGACTGAGAAAAGTCTATCTGGGTAAGAAATCCTGACTGAGTAAGAAACCATACTGTTTGATTTTACATCTGACTCAATATGCTGACTGATGAAAAATGACCATTTTACTCTTCTGTGATGGATGAAGTTGCTGAAGAGTTGTAAAAACATACATTTTAAGCACAAATTTGATTCAACATTTAGAACAAAGCATACATATAATATTTTTGTACCCAAAATACTCCTGCTTATGAAAATGCCATAAATAACAAAAGAAATTAACAATGCACCAATTAGCAATTCAAGACCATTGATTGAACAATTTCCTTTGATATTGAATTGAATTCAAATATTTGAAGCCATCGATTTTTAATCCAATATCAAGTTCATAAGGCAAGATTATGAAATTGTGATGTAAGATTTCTTCCTAGGCGGATGTAAACAGTGACAAGGACAAACCCATAACAAATTCAAGATTTCTGCAAAAAAAGAGATAGAAACTTGTTCAAATTTTAAAAAATGTAATCAAGATTTCACTTGCTTTTTATAAAGTATAAACTACTTGTTTGCTTTTTTTAACTCATTAAACAAACAAAAAAATGCTGGAACTACACTAATTAAAATTTATGTAGTTGAAACGTACTTCATCATAAAAACATAAAATATGTTTACAAAGCACAAAGAAATTGGCAAACTCAAATATATACACATATGCAACTTCAACATTCTATTAACAATAATATGAACACATATTAGACAAGATATGTACAGCTCCTAACAGCCCATTTTCTTCTGCTTACAACCCTTTTTCTAATGACACTAATAGCTCCTAAGAACTTCCAGTTGCAATACATGGAGTCATTACTTGTAAGCAAACAACTGGGAAGCTTGCTTCATAAAGTGAGTAATTATGTCTTTTTTTTATTTGCTTGGTCTGTAGCTTTTTCCATTTCCTATCCTCATGTTTGATAATGGCAAGGTGTTTCAAACTATTCAACAAAAACAAATTCATATAAAAATGAAGTTGAAACTATTATAATTTCTAAATCTGCAAGGAATTGATATCAATTTTGCATATTAAAGTATTGGATTTCAAGTCAAAGTAAAAGAATAGTCGAATTTAACCAAAAAAATCATAACTTGCAAAATTTGGAGCCGTTTTAGGGTTAATTAACCATAGAATTGAATTTAACATAACAATTCGATACAAAAGCACTTGAATATTGATCTCAGTAGCTGATTTTACTAAACAAAGTAGGAATTTGCAAATGATCGATAATGAATCGAACAAAAAGAGAATTGATTTGATGATAAATCAAAACTTAAATCAGACAGAAAAATCAGAATCGTAGCTATAGAGAAGAAGCATGAACAAAATAATCAGAAAAATCATAAGGCTTATCCCCATTTTCTCAGCAAAACAAGTACCTAGATGAGAAGAGGCAGAAGGCGTCGACAGAGGAAGGGTATGGCAAGGGCACAAGTGGAAAGCGTATCCCCATTTTCTCAGTCAGCTAGTTTTCCCCTTTTATCTGAATCAGACATTTCTTACCGAGTCAGATGCCAAAAGTTGGATTAACAAACATGCTTTGCTGACCGAGTCAGCCAAAAACGTCTGACCCGACTCAGTCAGACGTATATCAAACAGGACCTTAGTTCATCTGCGATTTTAGTCACTTGTACCCCCTATTTATACCATAAAAAAAAATCATCTGCGAACGTACAAGTCGCTAAAGCACGGATGTGCTTTAGCGACTTGTACGTTCGCATATGGCTTGGTGAAATCGTAGATGGGCTTAATCCATCTGCGATTTTGATGGCTATTTTTATAATTTGGATTTTTTTTTTGTTATTTTTACAAAGTAATTAACTATTTTAGTTATATTTGTAATTTTCTCCACATTAAATCCTTTTTATTAAACTATAACCACCAAAATAATTGGTTAAGGTAATTTCATTTTCATTTTGTTTTATATTTATATAATTTTTTTTTATATTTGACTATTTAACTTGTTAAATATATTTACATATTACTATTATAACATGCTATCTCATATGACAATGGTAACATGTGAACATATAAAAAAAATTGTCTAAATGCCAATAATTTTTATTTTGTTACAATTTTTATTTTAAATTTTTTATAATTTAGTACAACATTTCTAAGATATTTTTTTTCTTATAGGTTGTTTTAATACAATCTTTTAAACTTGGTTTAATTTTTTTTTTTTTTACTTTTTTTTATATTTTCATATAACTTTCATATAATTTCTTTTAAACCAAGTATTTTCTAAATGTTTTAAACTTTTCTTACAAGTTTTTAATTATTTGTTACATTTTCATATTTTTTTATAACTTTCAAACAATTCTTTATAAACTTTCTTTGACAACATTTTTAAAATGTTTCATAGATTTTGTATACAATTTAATAGTTTTTTATAACATTTTAAAATATTTTCGTTAAATACAAGTTTAGAACGTTGTATTAAAAAGTTTATAAACTTCTAATTAAAAAGTATAAAAAATTTGTAATAGTTTTAAAACATTTACATTATAATTTTCTTTTTTTGTTTTTTATTTGTTACGTAATATTTTCTTTTTATTCTTTTTTATGTCCCAATACACTTATTGTTACATATTTAATTTATTTAATTTTATTATTAGATACTATTTACTTTAAAAATATTACATATGCTTAAATATATATATATATATATATATATATATATATATATATATATATAAAAGGCTATATAAAATATTTCACAAAAACAAAATTATATTTATTAATTAAAAAGAATGTTTAGAGTTGATCAATGATTAATAATCAATCATTATGGATGCTTTAAAAATAACGTTTGGAAAAGTAAGACAAACAAATATGAAAAATAAAATCTCTATTAAAAGTGGGGAAAATGACTTATCAGGATAATTAACTTTTTGTTTTGTTCACATTTAGGGAATTTTTGCTTTTTTGGACACATTTGATCATTTAACTTGTTAAATGTGTTCAAATGTTACCATTGTCACCGGCTACCACCTATGATAGCCGGTGACAATGATAACATGTGAACACATTTAGCAAGTTAAATGGTCAAATGTATATAAAAAAATTGCCTAAATGTGAACCAAACGAAAAGATAAATATCCTGATAAGTCATTTACCCTTTAAAAAAATACAAAACCTCATAAATGGCCCCTATGATTTTCTAAAATTTTGGGATGTAAGTTTAAAAAATCTCATATATGGTCCCTGTGGTTTTCATTTTATATCATGGTTGGTCCATCACCCACCTAAAAAGACTTTTATACCATTTTTATTTTTTTAGATTTAATTTAAATTAAAGTTATTTAAAAAAACAAAATACAAAACCCCATCTTGGGGCCCACATCTCTCTCTCTCTCTCATAGATTTCTGGAGGTAGAAGATGAGCACTTTGAAGCCATTAAAGGTGCAGTGGATTTTTTGTTAATCGTTTTTAGGATTGCATAATCGGTTATGTATTTCGTTTTCATCAATTCATGGGTTTCTTGTTCATAGAGCCCTTGTGGATGTAATTATTGGATTAAGGTGTCTAAGGTCTTAATTAAATTGGTATATTTTTATGAATAAAAGCAAAGTCCTTTTTGGGTTGTCTTTATATCCAGAAATAGTTATGAATGATATTAGAACAGAGAGGAAATGGATTATTAGTTTATTATATGAATAATAAATTAATTAGAAATTGGTTAGAATTAATTTAGAATTAATCAAAATTAAGTAAAAATTAATTTTGGGTTAATTGGAAATAATTTGAGGTATAAGGGTTAAGTTGCAATTGCTTAAAAGTTGAGCAAATGATGGATTCTAGAACCCTCCTTGTTTAGATGCTTTTAGAGGCTCATCCAAGGAGTTTTAGAAGCCTCCAAATGCAGATAAAGAAACTGATTTGAATAAGGATTAAAAAAGGTGCTTAAACGGCGGTAAAGGAAGAGTGGTAGCATAGAGGGTAGAGTCGAGGTGCGATGGTTTCAAATTGAACATATTCCATATTACTGAGAGAAACTTTTGCGAGATTTACGCTGGGAGATCAATTAACATATATCAAATTGAATAGAAATATGTAAAGGTACCCAAGATAGATCTATCGAATTCAAATCAGTTTGTTGATAGAGAGAAGAATTAGGAAAAAAAGTGTTTTAAAAACTTAAGGGTATATTAGGTATTTCATTTTGAAATTTGAGGGCTTAGAATAACTATTAATTAAGGGATTATAAGATATCACGTGGCAAAGTTGCACTCTTTTATTAGGATACTAGGCGTAACCTCGCGCGTTGCGCAAGAATGCATTTAAGTGGTTAAAATAATTATGGGAAAAAATAGAAATATGTTGAAATTTCCGTTTTTAGTCATGTTTTGGGCATTAACCGACTTATCAAATAACATAAGAATCCATCAACTTATATTTTGATACTATCTAATATAGTCCATATACCTTATAAACTTTACTTTTACTTTTATAATATCCAATATATATTATAAGTTTTTGTATAACATTAATATAATCTACTTTTTTTATGTCCGATAATATTTTTTGGATAAAATAAGAAATAAGTTGTTTTGAATGAGCTATTAATAAACACTATTGAATTAATAAACTTTGTATTACACTATTTATATTACACCAAAACATCCAAGGTTTCATATATGAACTTTCAAATATTAAATATTGAAATTAAGAATGAAGTCATACAAAATATATCATTATACATAAATGTCATCAAGAGTTTTAAAATAAGTCGAGTAGTAAATATGATATTTTATTTTAATTACATATTTTGCAAGACATACGTTTGACTTTATGTTGTTGCGTAGAGAATCCTCTTCCTTAATTTGTACCTAAAAAATTAAGGTGAATAGGAATATAAAATAGATATTACTAAGCATTAATATAAATAATTAAAAAGGGTATGTGGATCTCCTACCATCGGTTAAAGACAACATACCTCTCTAGTGTTATCGATTCCTATGTGAAATTGAAGTAGTCATTCTATGTACACATTGTTTTCTAATTACATAAACAAATATGAGTAACCAAACATAAATATATTATCTTTATGTAGGAAAAATATTTTAGTTAACTAACAAATTAAATAATATAAGTTTAAGAGTTAGGAGTTTCAAAACATTAATATTTATATTAATCATTCAATTAAGTAACACATGTTGAAATTTTTACAATCATTATTAAAAAGCATTTGAAATATTAGTTTTTAAATGAATTTTGGTTTAAGTGTTTTGACCTCTATTATAATATATATATATATATATATATATATATATATATATATATATATATATATATATATAGAGAGAGAGAGAGAGAGAGAGAGATGGAAAGTATAACATATGTATGAGTTTTAATTAATTATCTTTTTGAAACGGTACAATTACAAAACAAAAAAAAAACATATTTAAAATATTTAATTAAATATTGTCACATGTTCAGTCCATGAGGCAAGAAATCAAGATTGAACAAGTTCAGTCCATATGGTTTTGGATTTGTCGCAAAACTTCGTTTTGACAAATTCACATGGATAGGAACACATACATCATAAAATCTAAGTGTTATAAGGTTTCCCTCCTTCATGAAAATGATTGTGAGGAAATGCTTTCACTAAGAGAGATTTTAAGAAGATAGCAATTGTGAAAATTGTATTCTCAAATTCGATTATGATTACGGCATCCATTTTCATAGTTCGAATTGTGAGATTTGGCAATTGGTCTGAACATTTGGGACTTAGTAACATAAATTATGAATTTTTTAGACACAGATGTGAGCTATCTAAGGCAAAGGTGTATGAGCTTAAAAAGCTTAGATAAAGGCTTATCAAAGAATTAGATATTAGAAATATGAACTTAAGGAATTCAATAAGCATTGTTTTCTGGAAGTTCAATTGTTTTCTGAATACATGTCAAAGCTAGTGGGAGCATAAGTGTTATGTTGGTAAGAAAATAATCATCATGTTAGTGGGAGCATTATTATTATGGTAAGTATTGCAAGTTAGCAATATTAGTTATAGAAAACAAGAGTTATACTTTGCAAAGTTGCAAGGGTTGAAAAGTTGTTTTGCTATAATTAAAGGAGAGAATATTATACTTCGTTTCAAAATTCTAAAGCTTAGATCGAGAAATGTTAATAAATTTAGTCAAGGATACATAGTGCATTCTCAATATTCGATTATGATTACGGCATCCCTCTTCATAGTTCGAATAGTGGGAACATGGCACATAAAATATTATAGCAGAAGGATGATAAAGTATCACGTCTTTATGTGAGACATTATGCATCGTGTCCAATACGCTTCGGGTATAGGATCGATTGCATATGCTATAATATTTGAACATTCTAAAATTTTCCAAATGCCTAGGGCATTAAGAGGGAAAAGGGGCTAGAACTGGATTTGACTAAAATAATTAAACAACTATCAAAGGACGATCTAAGGTTCGCCAAGGAATTGTTGCTTGTGAGTAGTTGGAAGTATAGTACTGGATGGACTAGATTGACATTATTATGAATAGATAAGATTCTATTAAGAATGAGTTGTCATATGGCAAATATGGAAATGTTTCCATTAATGGGAGTTGGATATTAAGAAATATGTCTAGATTAGAAACTTTTATGCGAGAAGGATGTTCAAAGGAATGTACTTTGAGTGAGAGACATCACATCTATACAATTGTTTTGTAACAATTTCTGATAGAGTACCTTGTGATTTCATTGGCCGAGTCTTTGTGACTTTTGTGTTGTGACTTCACGAAATGATCGTTGCATAAAATGTTAGAATCTGACATATTCTAAAAGTGGCAAGAATTTTGTATTCTTACGCTAATGATAAGGATTGGGAATGGTGAAATGAGTTTCATTGGAAATGTTTTTCAATTGATCTATTTCACAAAGTAAGGATCATAGGAAATCAAAGTGTGCATGATTGGAGCATGGGACAATTGTGGTTATAATTCGAGTAATAAGTTGATTTTCTGAAACAGTAAGCAATGAATAATGAGTAATCAATATGGTGTTTAAATAAAAGTGTTTTATTTACGCTCAAAAGTTTTGGGGCCATATAGGATTAAGTATTATCGTTGTGTTTCATTTTGCATTTTTGACTTCCAGAATAACTGGGTTATTCGAACCTCCACAGTCAGTCATACTTTGGAAGTAGGTATGAAGGAAGATTGTCATGAATCTGTCTGTAGATTGTCTAAGTGTTTAGACATAGCACAAGTTTGCTGCAGAGTTCATGAGTGCTTTAATAAGATTAGAGTATTGAATCAAATCCACGCTCGCTTGAATCACTTCATGGTTTTTATCATGAGTAATTGTGAGACGATAACATTGTATATTCTTGAAACCGAGACATGTGAGTTGTTATTTGTTGGCCGGTTGCGCATTGATAATAAGAAAACGCACCAATAACTTGGTGTTATAAAACTTATTATTGTGTGTGATTCGATCAGTAAATGCAAGCGAGCATTTGAGTCGAAGTTTATCTATTCCTTTTACCCAAAGTGAGATAAAAGCGATATTTGTGGGCCTCTCGATAATTTAGTGATGACACCCTAAGCGCTTGGCCAAGCCGGGACTAATTTGATGTGTTCAATTGTAGTCTGTTGTCATTCGTCATAAATCGGAATTCGGGAAATTGTATAGAGAGAATGATCAAATTCATGTCTTGTGTCTATACGATATCTTGAGAATGGAGGAATATATGATCCCTTATCTAAAGGACACGCGTATCTGATAAGATCAGAGTTGACAGCGGCTTTTGAAAGCTACGATTGCTGATCAGGTTCTGAAGTTATACATAATAGTTATTAGACTTATCCAAGTGGGAGACTGTTGGATTAGTGTCTAAGTCCATAACTATTTTGGTATGTACTTGACCCGATTATGAGCATGGTCCTTTTGGGTTGCCTTCACCATAGCAATATGTAGGATGAATTAAGGAGAGAAAGGTTTAATTATGATTTATTAATATATTATGAGAATAATATATTAAAGGAGAAATCATATTGTTTAATTAATATTAGTCAAGAATTAATTAAGAATTAATTTAGTGGCTAAAAGAGATTAATTAAACTTAGGGGACTGGATTTGTAATTATAAGATAATTGCAATTGGGCTATGGATTACCTAAATAATATAGGTTGGACGAATTCTATGGGAAACCCATAAGTAATTCGTCCAAGAGATATGTTAAAGGAGTCCGTAGGCTGCTTAGGGCTTAAGCAGCCAGATTAGGGTTTCCTAGTTGTAAACCTTAATAGCCTACATGTATACAAAGCACCCTTAAGCCCCAAAAACGTGGACAAGTAATCCTTTAGGGTTTCTAGCCGTTTTTGGTGCCTCCTCTCTCCTCCCTCTTCATCCAAGTTGCTTAGTGGTGTTTGTGACTCCATTAGAGGTGCAACACTTGAGGCACTAAGCTTTTCGAAGCCAATCAAAACAAGGATTGATTGTTATTGCTATATAACAATCAAAGGTAATTACTAAACCCTTATTTCAGTTCTTATTTGATAGATCTAGGGTTTATAGCTTTGGATATTCAATTGCATGTTCATTAGACAAACTAGATCCAAAAGCTATTAGGGTTTGCATGTACACCATATGAATGATGTATTGCTCGAAACCCATCAATTATATCATATTTTACAAGTTTGTCATCGTGTCTTTTATGTTTGGATGCTAATTAAATGATTGGTTGAGGATGATTCTTTCATTCTCAACCTTTTTTTTTCTCAATTTAACTCTCCTCTATACATATATCCCTTCTTTACTTTTTTTCAGAAACGTATCGGCTTTTAGTTCTAGCATAAGTTTTTTACTATACTTTGCTTTGCTTTTACTGTTTCTATATCCATTCAGCTCTCAACCATTATTTATATTCTCTCGACCCTCTTTATTTTTTGTACTTTTTTTCTTAGTCACATACCATTGTCTATTTTTTTTGAACCGGCAAACTAACATACTCCTAAAACCACATATGTCTCTTAATGAGACTTGAACCCATGATCTCTCATTTGAGAGTGTCGCTCCTTACGGCTAGGCTAAAGGCCCTTTGGTCAATGTCTATTAATCATTGTGAACTAACTTATACGCATGATATCTTTAGTGTGTACTCTTATTCGTTTTTTAATATCGTAGTTAATCTTTTCTTATCAAACAACATATATAAACATGTTTTAAGCCTTCAAACTTAGGGTTTGGCGTTACAATCTTGTGAGCTTGAGTTATTCCCAAAGGTGTTCTTCACAGCACCAGCCGCACCCTCGGCTACATTCGCTGCACCCATTGCCACACCTTGTGCTAATCCCAACACTCCACTTGTTGCTCCACCAACTACGCCCGTTGCACCATTTGCAATCCTTTTCACTGAATCATTGGTCTGCATACACAACGTATTCAATCATGATAAACTTCCTGTTTTAGTCTAATTTTGAATGAACTTGTAAACTGATCGTTATGGGATCACAAATTCACAATCCACATAAATTTGAAGAAATACATGAACATACGCATATGTGTTCCTAAATCAAATACCTGATCCACAATACCAGCGTTTTGGCAATGTTGTTGGCTTGTTGCTGCATATGAAAAAAAAAAGGTATGATTAACAAAAACAAATCAATACAAATCAATAATATTTTTATGATTAACCCTTGTTTTTATTCAAATCAATGTTTAAGCCTTAACATATGCGAGTCGTAATCTATTTTTCAATGAATTATATATATTTATTATGTTTTAACTATCACGAGTACAAATCAATGTTATTTCAATGTTATTGTCTCTCATTTATCTTGTTTGATTGAAATGAAACTATAACCTTATGTAGATGATCCAATTGTAACTTTGTAATATTTTTTTATAATAATTTAAACAACCCTAATTGAAACATATATAGTTAATAGTTTGATACATAGCGTCCATACGTACTTAAAAATATACAATATACAAGTACAAATAAAAAATCATGCATATATTATGTTAATGATTAACTTTGGAACTTAGATCCGCTTATTAATTCGGACCAAATTTATGTAACCTCATGTTCGAAACAAAATTAAATTTGTATGAATTAAACAACATTAAGGAAATATCAAATTATGCACATAACTTTATATTCGACAAAAAAAATAAATATTAAATACTACAGATACTCGATAACTGATAATATAAAATTAAATAAAGTATCTATAATCAACTCATTAGCTTATTGTTTTTTTTTCTTTCTTTCATATTTTCTTATCAAACAGTATATAAACAACACGTTTTAGGCCTTCAAATTTAGGATTGGGCGTTACTATTTTGTGAGCCTGGATTATTCCCAAAGGTGTTCTTCACGGCGCCGGCGGCACCCTCAGCCACGTTCGCCGCTCCCATTGCCGCACCTTGTGCTAATCCCAGCACCCCACTTGCTGCTCCGCCGGCTATGTCCGCCGCTCCTTGTGTCATCCTCTTCACAGAATCGCCAGTCTGCATACACCGCATATTCAATCGATTTAAATTTCCAATTTTCAGTCCGACTTTGAATGATTTCGTAAATTAAATTTGTATTGATCGCTGTAAGATTACAATACCTGTTCCACGATACCAGCGTTTTGTGCAGATTGTTGGTTCGTTGCTGCATCTCTATGCAACTGTCATCATCGTGAACATATATATACATAAGTTTAAGAAAAAGATGAGATTGAAATTGTTATGAAATTACAAACACGAGCCTAGATGTCGTGGGAAGGCGGTGTTCGCGATATATACCTGCTGTTGACCTAAGGCGGCCTGAGCGTCGGTCATGGTCTTTTGGCTGGCCATTTCTGATCTCTGTAAGTAAAATTGCCGGGGGTTTGTACTTTGTATGGAAGGAAGAAGATGTATTTATAGATTTATGAGAAAAAGCAAATTTGTTGCAAAAACGCATGGACTTGCTAACACATGGCGTATAAGGGTAACGTGACATGACATGCACTAGATAAGGCACTGTTTATGGAAACATGCTTCGGTGGTCAAACTAGCTTCAAGACTTTTATTAAAGCATAATCCATTTTTCTTTTTTATTAAAAAAATTGATTAATCGTATATTTTATTGATTTGTAGGATAGCCGTAAAAATTTTATATGTTTTGTAGATTAATTAACTTTTTAAATGAAATAATTAACTTTTTTATATTAAGCATGTACTAGATTTTTGTTTATTTTAATAAAACCATATTAATTTAAACTATCTTTAATTATTGTCTAGTTTAAAAAGTTTTTTTTAATAAGTAACTAATTGATTCATTTAGAAATGGTTTTTTTTAGTTTTTCTTATTATTTATATTTTTTTACATAAATGTATAAAAAAAACATAATTTATTTGTAAATAAATTTAAAATTAATAATTAACTAATGGGAGTTTCCCGTGCGAAGCACGGGTTGGCGTTTTTGCAAGTTTTTTTTATTTGGTTATTGTATTAGAAACAGTGGCTATATATAATAGGAGATGCATATAGGAGATCCATATCATATAAAAACAATGGTTGTCCATATTGTAACATTGGTAGCAAGAGTAAAGTATATTGCTATTCATTGCAACTTGCCTCTATGTCATGGGTTTCATTGAAGTGTAGTTATTGAAAATCAAATGATAATCAAGAATCTCATGCCATGGATACTTGAACTGAACCTTGTATACACAAAAAATAGTTAGCAATAACTTCCCTTTGTAAATTATTCAACCTGATGTCTTTTTTTGTTCTCAATCGTTTCCCTCCGTTAGTTTGAGTTTTCTTTCTAATTGAGCTTCAAATTGGGAACTTTTTAATTTCAAAAAAGCTTCATGATCAACCAAAACCTTTTTAATTCGCTCCTAGAAAAAAGCAAATTTAGTAATTTATCATATATTCTCATTAAAATTTCAAATTTAAAACACTACAAAAAATATGTCATTTAGTGGCATACAAAAAGTGCCACTAAAAACCTAAAAAGTGACACTAAAAGCTTCTTATGGAATCAGCGTCACAAATAATAAATGGCACTAGAAACGCTCATACTAAAACTCTTAGTAACACTTTTTGCTTTTGTCGCTACAGTTTTTAGGCTTTTAGTGACACTTTTGTATTTGCCACAATAAAAGAAAAGTTTTTTCTGGCACATATTTTGTGCCACCAAATCCTTTTTTGATTAAAAAATTCATGTTACTTTTGGTTACATATTTTCAATTTTTAGTGGCACTTTTTTATCTGCCACAATACAAAACATTATTTTGTGCAAATACACGTTAGATTCTATAATTTAAACTACTTATATTTACATAGTTTTTATCTATAATCTAAAATAAATTAAATAATTAGACTGCAACACATACAATATAATAAATATTTCATTCCATAAGATAAGACATAAACAAACTACAATTTCTTTTCATTCCAATGTAATAAACCATTTTATTCCTTCCATGATTTCATCATAACAAAATGCTCGATATTTAATAATCATTTGTTTGACTTTGACTAAACCATAGTGGTCACTATCAAGCCCATATTTTGTATCTTTTAAGTCCTATTCAGCTTCAACTTCTTCATTTGTTGTCTACCATTGAGTACCTATAAATCCATCTCATATAAGTAAGAACAAAATGGTGTTTATTTGGATTGGAAACTACAGGAACTACATTAGTAAAAGTTGAGAATCATATAGTATAATTAGAGCAGCTTGCATTGTGATAGGTCAAGTGATTTTGATGACCTCCAAGTTCATCATCTCTCCTATGAATGTTACTCTCGGGCATTGTCTTTATAATAGTCTGGAAAAAAAAAACAAATCTAATGAGATAAAGTTATGATAATATAACAGAAATGAATCACACAAAAAGATTATATGAAATAAGGAAAAGATGTAAACTTTACCTTGAAAACAATTGGTTCATTTATTTCCATTCCATATGTTATCAACACCATCACAATGACTTAATTAGCTAACGGGTTATGACACTATCTCGTTAAAAAAATTATTCCATTTTTACCCTTGTAAGTTATGCAAGATTTAAACTTCATTTCTTATGACCAGATAATATAATAAGGGTATCTAAATAAATGTATTATTCGATCACTCTAAGTTAGTTATTCAAGGTTTTCACACACTGGCTTATCGATGAAAACATTGTATTGTAAAGATTTATTCTATTTTTATTGGTTTACCCTTGTATGTTATGCAATATTTACACGTCCTTCATGTGTTAAGAAAGATAGATTAGTGGACTCTAAGGTGGTGTTCGGTATTCTGGAATTAGGGAAAGAATTCAATGATTCATTACATAGAAATATAGGCTTTAGGTGTGCAGGTTTAGTGTGGGTTGAATTCACAAGAGCCAATTTTTAGAGTGTTGGGCAAAAACTGAATACAAATATGATTTTATGATTATTTAAGGTTAAAAACTCAAAATAATCAGATTTGAATAGTTGCAAAAAAACTAATTAATAAGATCAATGTAAAAATACCTAACACTCACATTAAATACCTGAACAAAATTACAAGTATCTTTTTTTTTGGAACAAAATATCTTATTGCCTCATAAATAAAGATCCAAACACTTGTTTAATATCAATACATATACATAATCAAAAGTGGGATTAATTACCTGAAGGAGAAATACACTTGAATGCAAAAAGTGTATGATAACATATGTATTTTTATAAGAGGGAAGACCATTGAGCTCAAAGATGTTTAACAGATCAAAAAAGTGCATTCACAAAAGAAATTTTTACAGAATAATCAAGTTCTTGACATCAAGAAAGGAGAAAAAGTTCAAAATAACATAAGCCAACGATTACTTTCTTTACCATTTTAATTGTATAATCATTAGGTACCTGAGATAGGACTTTTGCACACTCTGCCATGGTTGACAATTCTCTTTTCTGATATGCAGTATCAAATCTAGATAACAATTGTTCTCCAATTCTGTACAAACATTCACCATGATCAAAATCAAGATAGACTTATACATGGTGAAAAAGTGAATTATAATGCATATACCATTGAAGTACACTTGAAGGTTACCAACAGCAACCTCCAGTCCTCTACTAACAGATTGCATAGTCATACCCTCTCTTCCAATATCTTCATCTGCAAATAAACTTGAAATTAACAAATAAAGTTTAAAAAGAAGTGTTGTATAGACAAAGATTGTTTCTTTTTTAGACTGAATGAACCGTTTGAATATGAAAAAAAATGACCATTATACACTTATGTATAGACAAAGATTGTTTCTTTTTTGGACTGAATGAATCGTGTATGAGCTGTCCGACTTAGGGGCGTCTTCCATTCCCATGTTGTTTCATTATTGCCTTTGGCTTTAGATGAAACAACATTTGAGCTGCATAACAAAAGCATCGCTTCTATCTGTCAAAACAAAAGATAAAAGAAATAAATATTTCAGCACTAACGTAGTCAAAGTCATATGATCTTCTTTAAAGTTTAAATCACACCTCTTTCAATTGTTCTAGGGATAAATTAACAGACATGTTGCTTTTCACATTAGTTAGCACCCTGTAAAAAAGATAAAAAAAAATATGATATGAAAATCATGTCATATAGCAATAAGGCATCATGACATTTAGATTTTGAATGAAATGATAAAGACCTTGATATTGGGTGTCTACTCTATTCCTTATATGTTTGGCTCATGAATCTAAACACCTGCAATCAACTACTTCTTAGCCTCTTGAAGAATAATATGAGAATATAAAGTGTTTTGAAACAAAATGCAGTTTCCAACTAACTAAACGGTAATTGATGATATCTTACTGAATTAACAAGTTGAATAGCATATAAATTCGGTTGATCCAAATCATCCTTGTTGGATATGGAATTTTCCAAAAGCAGTCTTGACAAGTTGTCCAGAAAGTCTTCGAGTCTGGAACACACTCCACTGAATGATCTACAAGCAAAGCCTTAATTCTAATCAATCAGCTGAACTTCAACCAAACTTTCAAGAAATTTTAGTGCTCAATTTAGTTGTTTAGTTTGATTCATTATCAAGTAGTCATAGATTTAGTTCTTTGCATCATATATAGTTATACTCTCCAATTCAATATGAATTATATTAATCCACTTCTCAACATTAACTTTTTCTTCTGCTCTTTGTTTACCAACATTGACAACCTCTATATTATGTTTTTAAATTGTGTGTACAGTTGCACATTTTTTTTTGACAAAATTCTATCCATCCATATATAATATTTCAAACAACTCTAAGTCTTAAGGATATGGACTAGTCGTACCTACCAATTAAGACAATGATTTAAATAGGAATAGAAGTTATACCTTTTAACAGGTGTTCCCTTAGGTTCTATTTCAGTCATCTCTTATAGTCGGAAAAACATGTACATGCAACTAAAGCTCAAATTGGAAGTCGTCAGCCTCAACGTGATCTTCTCTTCTTTGCAGAACAACATCTCACGGTTATTCCATTTAATATCATGGAGCTACATATCTCATTTTGATGTAATGATATTAGAGATAATAAACAAAACAGAACCAGAAGACTCAACAGGAAGCATCGCATAAAACATAAGGATGTCATCACCGTTTCATCTACCCTGTAATCAACATGAAATGAGATCACACCTCTGTTGCTATTGCTACTAGAAATCGACATAAAGAACCAACAACAACAATTACGAGATCATATAAAATGCTTTCGACCTCTCCATACCTAGCCGAAAACTCCATATCTCGTCGGAGATGTGTGGATAGAAGCGAACATCAACTCCAAACCTATCGATGAGTTTGAATCCATGACATTACTTCGTCATAAAGCTCGAAATTAGACCTCTCCTTTGAATCCTTACGATCTCACTCATGACTCATCGAAAAAATAGAAGCGGAAAGATATCAAGTGGTTGATTGGAAAGAGCGAATGTGTTGGTTAATCGGAAAGAGACAAGGTCGACGATGGATGATCGAAAACAGGAAAAGCAACGACAGCGATTAATCGAAAACAGTCAAGGCAGTGGTTGAGGGGAGTGATTTAGGGTTCTTCATTTTTTTAGGAGGGGGAAGGGGGTGGGGTGAAGATATGAGGTTAGAAGAGAAGATGTAGGTATGGTAGGTGAGAATGGAGATGTGTTGGGGGAGGGGGGCGTGGGGTGGGATAATGGGGCCGATGATATTTTTAAGAGTAAATGTTTTTTTCTTTTATAATTTTTTTTAATAAGATGATAATAGAAAAAGGGTATATATGTCATTTATGTATGATAAAGACTAAACAAAAGCAAACGATCCGAGATAATAATAAAAAAAACTGAGTTAAAGGACTAACTATGTATATTATCTGAAACCACATGACCATTTATGTAATTTACCTTATTTAATATAGCAAACCTTTAGTGGCATATTTAAATATTATGTCACTAATAATTATGAATATTAGTGACATAAATTGTTAAGTGTCATTAAATCCATTAATTTTTATAATGGCACTTAGAATATACCATTAAAAGCATGGTATAGTGGCACATCAAACAATAGCCATTAAAAATGTATGCCACTAAATGACATTTAATTTGTAGTGAAAGATATGTCAGTTTTGAGTAAATGGTAACTCACAATTCCTTGCTTGCAATTTACTCTTGTTGTATACATAACTCTTCATGCTTTTTTTTAAACTCATTTCCCTTATTTGTGATATCATGTAAGCAATAAAGAACGGATATTTGAATAAAAAATGAATATTTATTAAAATAATATTAGAATGAATATTTGAACAAACCTCTTCTTTAGAATCCAAGGAGGTTGCCTTTGTATCAAGATTGTATTTTTCTTCTTTAAGGGATTTTCGTTCCTCTTCGAGGCTTAATTTTGAAGTCAACAACTCTTTTTCAAATCGACTTATTTCCTCATTTCTTCCAAAAATAAATTCTTCCCTTTGATTCAACAAAGCTTGCCCTTCATGTAGTCTTTCTTGCGATTGTTGGACAGATTTCTGCCTTTCACATAAAGATTGTCTTTCAAGAAGCATTTCTTTCTATTTTGCTTCACACCTGTCATATTTAGATCACCCATTAGCTCATAAATCGGTGTAGTTAATTATGTGCTAAATGTAACGCCCCAAATTTCAACCCAAATTTTTTGATTAAAACTTTAAGTATTTATTTAATTCACAACTACAAGATCTTAAAACATTTATCAGAGTATCATTAAAAGTTATCAAGTACACAAGTCCCCCATTGATGCGATGCAATCGATCTGTGCCCCTCCTTTAATATAAGAAAACCTGAAACATGTAAACCACAAATCGTAAGCACAAAGCTTAGTGAGTTCCCCAAAATATCACACACAACACAACACAAATAAACAACTATGGGTTATCAGCAACCCTAGGGACTATCAGCCGTCACAGTGGGCTAACAGCACGCTTGGTGGGTTATCAGCAACCCTGGAGACTATCAGCAGTCTCAACAACATAACATAATAATAACAGTTAGACCCAGCTGGTCAGCACTAATACAACTATTCTACAACACAGGCTCATACAAACATGCGAGAGTCACAAAGACAACTAGCATCCTTCATACATAATTTAGTGAGTCGGTATTGGTGCCTTCGACTCACAAGCACCGGGAAAAGACTCACCTGAATTGAAGAACCCTGAGACACTATGACACGTTCCCGTTCTTACACTGCTTGCACCCGTGAATCCACTAATAATAGAACCAGATAAAATCTTAATTAATAACCTAAAACCCTCAAGTTTGACCCTTGGTCAAAAGTCAACGGTCAACGGAAGTCAAAGTCAACAAGTCAACTTCAAGCTGAGTATGCCTAGCGTAATCAGCTCGTACGCATGGCATACTCACCATCCAGAATCAGGACCCCATACGAGTATGTGCAGCGTACCCAAAGGTACACCCGACGTACTCGACTAAAAGGCACTTTTCCATTAAGTGCTTAATATCTTAAGTCCTTTCGTCCAACACTTAGATATAGTCCCACAACATCATTGTAAGTCATAAAGTTTCCATCTTTATGACTTTCCATGTCTAGAAAAGGTCAAAAAGCCAAAACCTTAACTTATTAATCCATTAAGACATCATGACACTTTCATGGAAGGTATAGAAGGATCAAGATCACATTTTTATGAATCCTAAAAGCTCCATAATGGATAAAGTTTCCAACTTTATCCATTAGAATGGTCCAAACCACCAAGATCTAGCCTTTAAGCATCAAAGGGACCAAAAGTGCATCTTTTTCAACTTAATCCATTAAGTCCAAGTCTCCAACCTTCAGATCTGAATTACAATGATGTTTAGATGGATAAAGTTTCCAATTTTATCCATAACAAGGTTACAAACTTTCAAGATCCAAAATTTATGCACTAAAATGACCAAAAGCTCATAACATCCAAACTAGCTAGATCTAACAAATGTATCATCAAGATTCAAACTTTATACCTCTATAAGATAGATCAAGGCGAATAAAGTCCAGATCTACAAACTCCAATGCAACCAAAACTTCTCCAAGAAGTTCCTTCTTCTCCAAGGTGCCCCATACATACTCCAAAGCACTCAAAAACACCTTATTTTATCTCACAAGGCTCAACTAGGGTTAGGGTTTCATGGAAGGGGTGTTGGCGGGGTGGAGGCTGAGAATGGAGTGGGTTTGGGGTAGTTAAGGAACTTAAATAGGGCTCAAAGAACAAAATTAGGGTTTGGGCACTGATCACGTACGCCCAACGTACTCAGGGTGCCTCAGTACACCCAGCGTACTCCCTTCTGTACGCCCATCGTACTCAGCTTAACCCAAAACAACCAAACTTCAAACGGTCATAACTTCTTCGTTCTAACTCCGATTTTGACGTTCTTTATATCCACGAAAAGGTATTGATGAGCTCTACAACACTGTCTAATTGATTTTGCCTTAAAACACATCGAACTACAATCCATAATTCATAAAAGAAGTCTGAAACACTACTTTCCCATTTTACCCTTTGACTCCAAAGCGCAAACCGAACTATTGGATCACAAATCTACATTACCCACATCCAAATGGGACTAAACCTCTCTTCCCCCAAGGCCCGAAGCCTTATGATACTTGATCTTCCGGTCACTGCCCCAAATTGTGAAACGACTCGAAACAGGGTGTTACACTAAATAAGGCAAAAAAGAGAATGGTATATATTCATAAAGATAGGATAATTATGTAAGGAATGATTAACAGAAAACATACTCTGATTTGAATGAATTTATCCATCTCTTAAGATCATCTTTGTGTGCTTCAACTTTCATCTAACTTTCTTTCAAAAACTCTATGGTATCTAGAAGCTTCTGCATCCAAAGATTTTGCAGTTTGCATCTTTGAATTGGCTTCAGTCATCTTTTTTAAGGCATCTTCCATCATAGTTCTTGCTTCAGCTAAGTTAACTTTAGCTGTAAATTTTCCCTCAGCTCATTTTGCACACATCTCATGTAATGCCTTTTCAATCTACAAAAATATAATAGTTTAGAGAAAGCCAATAAACACGTTATAAAAATAATTTTGTATGCGTACATTGGAAACAAATTCTTTCTCTATTCCTAGAGATTTCTTCAACTTCTATTCCTTTTTCTTTGCTTCATCTAAAGCAGACAAATAGACAGCTTGATTGCTCTTTAGTGTCATTTCAGCCGACTCGGCGGTTGATTTCATCTGCTCATAGTTAGTAACCCACTCCTTTTTTTCAATGATCAGTATGCCCATTTGATTGTAACTTACTTTCATTTCTACCCGTGATAGCAATCTACTTTCATTTCCTTAACCATAATAGTAACATACTTCATTTTTTTACTGATAATCACAATACCTAGCCCATATTAGCAACGAACTTATGTAAAAGATAAAGTACAATACCCATATTGGTAAAATAATATGAGCATTGTTGCCACTATGTGTAAAAATCAAAGTACATTAAAGAAATGCAAGTATGTTGCTATTATGGGTTAAAAATAAAGTATACTGCTCATTTTAGTAACAATTTGAACGAAACATTTTTAAAGAAAAATAGAATAAATAAATAGACCTTATCATGCTTTCCTGAAAACCTAACAGGGGAATAGGGTATTGTTCAGCATGGCGAGCAGGATCATGTCTTGAAGGGAAGTAGTTGATCTGGAAGAGTAAAAGATTATAAAATTCAATAAATTTAACAACAAAATATTTATTATTTTTAGGATTTAGGGTTTAGGGTTTAAATGAAATTATATATACAAATTGCGTATTACTATTATCCGTAAAAAAAATTGAAGTAAATTGCTATAATGGATAAGGAATTGATAGTAATTGCTATTATTTGTAAAAAAATAAAATAAATAAAGGAGATTGCTTA